CCTTCCCTTCCCTTCCCTTCCCTTCCCTTCCCTTCCCTTCCCTTCCCCAGTGCGGGGGAGAGAGGAGCCAGCAGACGCCGAGACGGCCTCTTCCCTCAGCAGTGACCTCAGTGCAGTGCGTGCCAGGTGGGTGTTGATTTTGGCCTGATGAGGAGGAGGAGGAGGAGGCTGAGGCAGTGCTGAGGTGGGCGCAGGGCAGCGCAGCCCCTCATCACGCAGCCACAAAGGCCAATGGTGCCCTGGGAGCAGCAGGAGCAGCACTGGGGGTCATCCTGCTGTCTGGGTGCAGCTGGAGCCCTGTGCTGGAGGAGGGCATACAGCATTTATGAGGGCATCCCAAGGAGGGCTGAGGAGATGTGAAGGGCTGAGGGTCAGCAGGGTGGGGGGGTAGGGAAAGGGTCTGTCCCATAGGGCGGTGAGCTGCTGGGGTTCAGATGTGCCCCATTTTGGAGCCAAATTCACAGGCTTGCAGACCTCTCTGACCCTGAGCACCCCTGCTTCAGATCTGGGCTCTCTTTAATCCTTCAGCCTCCTTCTGAACGGCTCATTGCTTTATCCAAAGTGGTTTCTCAAAGCCATCACATCCCCTTTCATTAGCAAAACCACTCCTGAGGAGCCCTTCTGCACCCTGGGAGCGCGGGGTGGCCACGAGGGTTGGTGTCCCATCCCAAATTACTGGGTAAGAGCTCATCCCACGGCTCACTGGGGACATCTCCCTCCCAGCCTGCGGGGCACCACACAGCCCCAGTTCTGCCCGTGCTCACAACCAGCCAGCCTCCACCCAAAGGTGTCTTCACAGCACAGTCTGAGCCCAGGAAATATTTCTCAGACCTTTCTGCACGCTCATTTTCACTCGAGCACGGTGTTCCATCACCCCCCCCTCTGCTGCCACCATCTCAAAAAACAGTGTTTATTTCGTTTTCCCCACCAGCAGACAGGCTGGGATGCTCCATCCGCAGCCTGGAATCTCCCACTGCTGACTCAGCTGGGACGAACCCGCGGCTCCCGGCCCTCACTCGGTGCAAAAAGCTTTCCCCAGAGCTGTCCCCGCATGCGGCCGCAGCAGCTCGTTGGGGCCGGCGGGGTCAGACAGCTTGGAAGTGCCTCAGGGGGTGGGAAAAAGGCATTTCCTCCAGCTCTGCTCCGACGAGTAGCAATTCAACCGGTACTAAACCGGATTAGGAGGAGAGTAAACGAGGAGCTGTTGGCCTGAACCGGGGGTGTTCATTAGTAGGAAGTGCTAATTATCTTCTAACAGCACACAGCATGCTGCGAGAGATGGGTTGGAAGGAACCGGGAGGCGGTGATGCTCTGCACGATCCAGGGCCGTCTGGCCGTGCTGTGCCCCTCCTGCTGGTGGGATTCAGCTCCTGGCAAAGAGCTGCTGGGTCTGTCGTGTGGGGGGGACCCACGTGCGGGGCTCAGAGCTCCACCTCGGTTGGTGACACCACCCCACCCCAAGGCTTTGGAACCGGACCAACGCTGACCCTGTGTGGATCCATTCCTCTCCCCGGCCCGTTGTGAGCAGCCCCGCAGCCGAGCAGAGCTGCTTCAATTAAAAATTAATCCGCTGCTCCAACAACCCAACAGCCCAGATGCTGATGTGCTTAATTGGGTCTGCCGCCCTCCTTCCCCCCCCACGGAGGGTTTGCATCCCCAAAGCCCACCCTGGCCCCGCTCTGCAGGTCCTTCCTGCTTTGCTGGGAAACAACAGATTCCTTTATTTTTGCAAGGGCTGCCAAACCAAACGTGGCAGCCCAGCAGCATCCCTCGCACTGCACCATTTCAGGGCTTCATCCTGCAAGCAGAGCCACACTCATCGTCTTCCCTGGACTTTATATGAGG